TAATGACAATCGGTCCATAATTGACCCTACTGAAAAAAAAACATTATTTGTTTTTAAAAATAAATATTTTGTTAATTAAAAAGTGCCCGGTCCATAATTGACTTAAGCCATATTCCCTGATGTTTATAGAGGTGTTTCCTTTTACGAAATACGGTTTGATGGTGGGCACAGCCGAATATAACACTTTCACTTGTTTTATTTATAATTTCATACTTGAAGAAAATTTTGTTGAAATTAGTGATCATGGACAAAATCTTTTAAATTCAAAATGGAAATTATTGTAATAAATTTCTATTTTATTTACTAATTTCAGAAATCCGAAACAGAAGAATGATAAATGATGGCATTGGATAAATGGTCTCTTAGCTTAGGTCTATAAATAAATAAAATTCCATTAATATAAGAACTGATTCCCAAAGACTAACTAAATTTATATACATATGTATATCTTAAAAATTAAAGATATATATTTATTTTATCGATGTATAGATTTTTTCAATATATAATGTCTTTCGATCTCTCTGTAATATTTAAAACGCTTAGGTTTATTAGCTTTGGGAAAATTTGCCTTTACGTATTGTTAACCTCTAAAAACCATATTATATAAAATAGATAATAACAAATACAAATACTACAAAACTGCAATGGTATATTAAGATACCAATTAACATTATTTAAAAATATTACAAACATTTTATTTTATATGACTTATTTACATACATATTTAATTTTTTTAATTTTCTAAGCATAATTATAGAATTTACTATCTATATTATTTCGATATAATATTATTTTTAATATTTTTGCTATTGTTTATCTTACAACGTTACAATAATATTTGTGAATTGCACAAATATGCTTAAAAAACTATTGTAAGGTTATCTCTGATTTGAATTTAGCAAATTGTTTTCTTTTGTATATTTGTTAATGATTTAATTATTTATATTGTTTTTAATAATATTTACAAAATGCAAATAAATGTGAAAAATAAACATTTCAAAAATTTAATTAGTTTAATTTTAAATTTAACATGCAACGCGCTATGGGAGAATTTTGCTATTTTTTTGTTAATCATGAGTACTTCCTAATAATGTTGGGTAAGTCAAAACTTTTATAAACGATTATAATTCCTTGTTAGGATTTAAAAGATTGTTTGTTATGGGCAATTCTATTCCATCGATCGTGACATTTATACGCCTTCAGAGTGGTATAGATTTTACAAAAAAGAAGTGCTTGAAAATTAATTTTAATTTGTTGCACTAAGGATATATTTTTCCTTCATAATCTATAATTTATAAGAAAAAAACATTTAAGATTATTTTATAATGAACATATTTAAATATCGTACGTGACCCATTGTTTTTGACAGTTTTTATACGCTACACCACTATAGTGGTGTGGCTTATAAAATATTGATCCTACACCCACTCTAAAGTATACCAATCGGCTCAGAATCACTTTCTGAGTCGATTAAGCTATGTCCGTCTGTCCGTCTTTCCGTCTGTCCATGTAAACCTACAGGTCGCAATTTTCGAGATAATTTGATAAAATTTGGTACATACTCTTCTTCTCAAAGACGAAGCCTATTAAAATGGTTGAAATCGGACCATTATTTCTCCTAGCCCCCATGCAATCGTACCCCCGAATAGGGCTTTTGAGCTTAAATCTTGTATAATCTCTACAAAAATTGGCAAATCTTAGTTTTATATAAGTTTAAATGATACTGCCGATTTTCGCAATGATGGGGCCTTATTTGACCCTAGCCCCCATATAAATTCCCCTCCAAAAAATGACTAGATGGTGGAAGGTATCACATTGAAATTCTGCATAAATAACTTTATTGTCATCGTAAATCACTCTTAACAAAATTTATACGGAGAGAACACTATTTACCTTTGTCCCCATATAACCCCTCTTTCAGAAAATCACTTTTTTTGTAACAAGTTGTTAAAATATTTCGGAATTAAGGAAAAATTATTATTAGAAAAATAATTCACAATTTTAACATACTCACTGGTGTAGGGTATCATATGGTCGGCCATGCCCGACAATACATTCTTAGTTGTTTCTCTTGCTGTTTTTTAGATTATATAATATATACAGACATAGATAAATATGTTGTAAATATATGCATACACACACTTAAACAAATAAAAAGGAGTAGGAAAGTGTAGTCGGACATGTCCCACTCATATCCATACATCTTTAAGCAATTAATAAAAAAAATTGCTACATGACGACTTCTGTAAAATATAGACCGATCCTCATAATAAATTGGGGTGGAATTTATGTTCATATACAACTTATTTATGCAAAATTTTATCATAAAACTACTGCTTATAAGTGAGTTATGGATGTTTAAGCGTTTTTCTTGGGTCAAATGAGGTCTGGTTGTTATGAAAATTGGCAGTAAATATCGTTTAGTCTTATATATATTTTAGTTCTACGGATTTTCAAAGTCATAGAATTGTTATTAACATAGTTTTGAGCTAAAAAGCGATATATGCGGGTCCGCTCGTATGGCGACTAGGAGTAATAAAGAACCGATTTCAAAAATTTTCGACACCCTTTGTCTTTGGAGCTACTACAGATCATACACCAAATGAATTATCTTCAAAAATGCAAAAGTGAAGTGCGTGCAAAAATGGAATTGCCCATATACCGGTAATAATTTAAAGATCAGGATAATTCTCCAAATAGGGCCCTTAATGACTGCTGGGGTCAATTATGGACGTACCTCTACAGAATTAAAATAAGTGATTTTTTTAGTTATTTATTAACAATAAACTTATCTCTCCAAGAGGGATTAAATGGGGGTAGTGTCAATTATGTACGCTTTATATGTACAATTCAGACAGTTATGAGTCTTAAAGACGTTTTTTGAAAGGACCTTATATTGAGGAGAAGGGACCGTTCCTACAGTGAATTTGGTATCAAAATACTTCATTGGGCTAGTATCAAATATTATCATATAGCCGCCACAATCACGGTAATATTCATATTATTTTTGTTATACTCTTTGCTAAATTAAAATTTTATACATTTTCTGTTTGTCCATTAAATAATTAAAATATTGTTTATTTATGCACTAACAAATAAAGAAAAACTATTTACTTAATAAATTGCTTCAATTTTCAGAAGTAAGCGTTATTCTAACAGTAGTGTTAAAAATAAAATCAATAATAATTTCAAAAGAATCAATAAATTTCTTAACTAGATTCTTTTAGTCATTGTTTTGCTTTACCACCACCTTTAGATGTTACTCATATACAAATTCTCACTCAATTAACACCGTAGCAGTAGGGAAATTTTGAGTCTTATTTAAATACACTGCACGAAAAAATTGAGTGTTGAAAGAAAATTTTTGATTTTATGCAGAGATTTTCTAACACTAAACAACACGTACGGTGGGAGTCAGCGTGTATTAAGGTAATTATTGAAATTATGGTGGAAAAAAGAAAAATAAACAATACTACGACTGTCACTCGTTTCACGGATTTGTAGAAAATAATAGTTTTGAACCTATTAAGTTTCAAGGTCTTTGTATTAAACCGACCTTTTTTAGAGTAGTTGATGTTATAATAATCAAGTCAAGTTACTTGTATGACCTATAGTACTCTCCACGTAAGGACCGAATTATCTCTGAAATCATAAATTCAGCGCAAAAGTTTTCTATTAAGAGTAACTTAAAGTCGACTGTGACATCTTCTGTGGGATTTATACACAGAGGAAAAAAGAAATATACACGCCTGGTACCAAATTGACACCATCCTGTTTATAATTTTTCAATAATATCCGTTGTCAAAGTATATACATACGTACGACAAGACTATGTACTGTTGACAACATTGCAACAATTCGTTGTCGAAATCTAAATTTTATACACATCCGTTGTCTAAATGTTAACAAACGTGGTAAGCTCACTATTGACAAACAATCCGTATATACTTTGACAACGGATGTTATTGAAAAATTATAAAATCTTTGATGTTAATTTGGTTCCAGGCGTATATATTTCTTTCTCCCTCTGTGTAGCAATCAGGGCCAGTGCTTCGAGCGAACTACATATAAGAGCTTAACTAATCTAGGGCACTGAGTATAAAAAGAGCTAGAAAACTGATATTGACAGCCGTTAAACAAATATCAAGTGTTCAGCGATATGTCTGTCTGCATAACTTGTTGGTAATGCCATTAGTATACGTACACGTTAAACTCTCTTTTTTTCGCTCTCATGCTACGTCACACGCTCGGTACGTAATGGAAGCCATCAGATAGAAATAGACAAATAGTGGTAAATGTATTAACAATTACAATAGCATTGTAATACTACTACCAATATTGGTAGCAAATCCATGAATGCAAGCTAAAGCTAAGAAGGATTCCAACAAAATAAAATACTCTCGCGTGTAATACACACACACACACATGAAGATACAAAGTAAGGCACCTTTAGTGGCACGGAATTTATAAAAGGCTCGTGTTGGTAACTAAACTGTTTCAATTCACCGGTATTCTTTTGGTAAGAAAAACCATAGTCGCAAGGACACATCGCTATTTTATTTAGTTTTGATTTTTGTTTTATACTTTTCATTTGTGAAACGTTTATTGAGTGAGTGTGTTTTTTCCTCAATATAATAACGAATAATGTAGGTAAATAGGAAAACACTTAAATGGTTTTCAACAAGGATACTAACTACTTCTACATTTCATTTTAGACAAACAAAAAAGAGAAATTATTTGTAAATAAATAAAAAAAAAATAAGAAAAATATTTTAAATAATAAAGGACCTTGTAATGAAAAGTGATTATTGTTATTATTTATATGCAATTTAAATAAGTAAATAAATTAAAATATTAAAAAAATTAAGCAAAATTAAAATTAAGTTTATCAATGACACAATTTAAAGAATTTTTAAAAAGTTTTTGTATTGTATGTGCAAGTGAGTGGTGACAGTGTTAAAGTGTCATTTTTGCTAGCATGTCTAAAGTTTAAAAGTGAACTTAACTAAAAATAGTATATTAAATCTAAACTAAGAAAAATGGATAGAACTTATAATACAAATAATGTTTGGACAACAACTAATGGATTTACGATAGAAAGACGTCGTCCTAATACACCGGGTGAGTAATTAGAAAATTTTGTAATAATAAAAAATAGCTTTGGATAAATGTGTGTGTGTGTGTTTATAACTTCAACTTTAATAGTTATTGACCTTCAAACTAAATACATAATAAAATTTTTTTACTTCTGAAAGGAATTTTTTTAGACACTTTCTGTTTACAAATAAAGCATGCAAAAGTTCTAATCAACAAGTAAAATTATTTTAACATGAGAATAAAACGAATTTAATACACTGTACTATACAGGATGTATAGTACATCAAATCCGAAGAAATACACCTAGACCATTATCGGGCCTGTTGTGCGCTCCTTTTCATGAAAGAAAAAAAAGTATATTATTTTTCAATGTTCAGAAACTCAGTTTCCTGGACGTAATTCCTAAGAATTTTCCAATCAGTGTAAGTCAGGAATAGTATTTCCGAAATAACATCACTTCCAAGATACTTGGATCTAGCTTCGACGAATGATTGACAGTGGCAAAGAAAGTGTTTTAGAGTTTCATTGTCCTCTCCACATGCTCCACATTCGTCTGATTTCGCATGGCCAATTTTGTATAGATGTGCTCGTACCACCATACTAACTTCAGACTTGCTCATTTTAAGGAGATTTCTCATCTTGTTCTCATCAGGGTCACCCCATAGGATCTTTGTGGTTCTACCCGCCGTTTTATTATTCCAAAAGGTCTTATAGGATTCTCTCACCCATATTTTTAATTCAGCTTTTGTTGCGTCGAATGGTTTTGCATTCGTTAGGGTAACTACCTCGAAATGTTATATTTAAATTCGATCATATTTCAAGACCTTGTACTTGACATTATTTTTATTGGAAACAATTGAAGAACACTTTATTTTAGTATTTAGAAGAGTCTACAAACATGGAAAATAGCAGTTAAATACAAGAACAAGAACACTAAAATACGCAAAATATTTTCAAACTGTTCAATATTTGTTAATAGCAAATTATATGTACTTTCAAGTAGATGATAATTTATGATTTTTCTTAATAATGGATATTAATATGAAAATTGAAAATGAAATTAACAAAATATCTCTCCTAAAAATAAGAAAAACTACATAAACCAAGCAGTTCGGTCACGTGTGCTTGTCCTACGAGGAAGCCAATCGTCAGCCCATAGATAACGAAGAGACAAACAACAAGCTTCAGTTTGTTTTTTAAGTGTCCACTCTTTCTCTTACAAAGGGGACACTAAAGTGACCTTCGTTTACATAGAATATATTCGTGACTAAAAATGAATTAGAACCAACCAGGTGGTTAGACGTTATTGAAAATCACTCGAATTGCTGGGTTTACGTGATATATATGAATGTATATACACCAGTTATTAATAGACTTAAAATCGGTGTTAAAAATGTTTACTGTATAAGAATTTTAACGTCTATTAAAATTTTATCACAACGTTGATATTAATACGAAATACAAACCTGCGGATGCATTTTCTGATGCTGCGGATTTGTAGCCATTTTATTTTTTTTTTTCTTATTCTTCCTTTGCATTCACAGAACGATATGATTTTTGATCGTAAAAAGTATGAATCGCATGGCATGACTCTAAATTTGTAAAAAACTGTCTAAATTCGTAAACAACTTAAAATAAATTTTAATTTGGTAAAAATGTATCCGTCTCCGCAGCCGTAAGATTACTTAGAATGGACTTCGAAATTAAATATGGAATCTACTAAGCTTAATTGGGTAATTTTTAGAGAATTTATATATTTTACCTTAATTTCGATATACTTAAACAAATTAATGACAAAAACTATTTTTTGGCACCAAAAAGGCTAGGGTCAAATATGGACCCATCACTATATGTGAATTTATACTAATATTAAACTGAGCTGTATCTTAGTACAACTAAGTCAATTGCGGAGGTTAAAGTCATTTTATGATATATGGGGGCTATAATAGCAGTGTTGCCAGGAGCTTCAGAAATAAAGGCCTAAGTCGGAAATTAAAAAAAGCCAGAAAAGTCTTAAAGGCATAAAGAATAAGACTAGGAAAAGGCTTTATTTTTATATATTAAAAATATTTATTAAAATAAATGAAAAATAATAGTTAAGCATTTCCGACCTGATTTTTGAAGGACATAGATGGCACAAGATCCAAAAAGACCAATTCTCGCAGAATTTAACAAAATGCTTCTATTTATACCATAAACCACTTTAGTGGGGAGGGTAAAAATATTTGTCTTATAATCACCTTAAAGTACTCAAATCATTTTTGAGTCGCTTAAGTCTCTCTGTCCGGCTTATGAAATGTGAAGCTTGCAAGGAACAGATCGCAATGTTAAATTTGATGAACGTATGTTAAATTTAAATAGAACAAAGGTATGGAAGAGGTTAAAATCAGTCTATGATTTCATCTAAAACCCATATAACTGAACCCTGAAATATTTATACTTGTATCTCCAAAAAAAAGCACAACTAAATTTTATAGATTTTTATAAACACTAATGAGCCAGTCGTATTTCGTAATGCACGGACCTTCTCAAAATTACTCAAATATTAATTCACTTATAAACATTCATATTGCAAAGAAATTTAGCATAAATAAATGTAATGTATATAAGTAAGTACACAAAATTTTATGTAGATCGATCCATATTTGCCCCTAGACCCCATATAAGGCCCCTTTCAGAAAATTAGTTTTTCGTCAGAATTAGAATTATATTATTTTTTGGTCTTATTTTGATAATAAGAATCTAAAATTAATTTGTCAAAAATTGTACCTCATCTGAGAGCAGGGACACTTGCCGGAACTCAATTAAAAGTTGTAAAACAGTTAAATTTCATAACATTTACTCTCAACAGAAGCTGAGGCCTTGTTTAAATAACCTGATTTTAGTTTTGCACCGTTTTCCAAGTTTGGATCAAATTTTATGAGGATCGGCTCATATTTAACTTCCATCCCCCAGCAGCTTTCAGAAAATCAATTTTTTAAGAACTAAGTTGCAGACTTGTAAGTGCTTAAAGGAACAAAAACCCGCTTTTTACCCGTATCTCAATATTTCGGAGGCGTTTGGCAAATTTAAAAAAACAGATTCTTATTCTACTTGAATCCTCTTTTTCGAAAAATAGTATCACTTCCCAAGTATTACCAATTTCGTTTATTTTGTCTTACTGTGTAATCCTTTTGTTACAAAAATTTTAAAGTTTTGAAATCTGATTGTTTTTATAAAATTTTAGCCTTAGATTTGACGTCCTAGAGTTTTTTTAATATTTTTTTCTTAGATAATCAAAATGAAGAAACCCATATAGGTTTTATATTCTGAGCAAAATCGTTGTAAACAAGTGTTATCGTTTTAAATTATATTAAAATTAAAAATTAATGCACTATTACAAATTAAACAACTATGCCGAATCTTATATACCCTTCACCATGATGTGTTAAATAGAATAGGCAGTACAAAAAAAAAATACCAGTTGTAAAACGATCAACACCCATCAATCTGGGTGTTGCGTATTTGCATAAAACCCAAAAAGTGTACCATTCATAGAACAAAAAGTAGATAAAATCGTTTCCTCCCAATTTATATTGACTTTAAAGTACCAAAAAGTCTCTTTTTACATGTTCTCACTATAAATACTTAATTTCATGTTTCTAGGTTCAATATTATAGCAAATTCAAAAAGTACCTTTTGAAGAACGAAAAAGTACCAAAAAGTCCCATTTAAAGGTTCTCAGCTAATCCGGGCTCTACATGATTAATTTTTATGTTTCTAGGATCAAAATGTAACAAAAAGTCCCCTTTTAAGTGTTCTCACCTAATCCGGGCTCTACACATTTCATGTTTATACGTTAATTATTCTAGAAAATTTAAAAAGTACCTTTAGTAGCACGAAAAAGTACCAAACAGTCCCCTTTTATGTGTTCTCACTTAATCCGGGATCTACACACTTAATTTCATGTTTATAAGTTAATTATTATAGAAAATTCAAAAAGTACCTTTTGTAGAACGAAGAAATACCAAAAAGTCCTCTTGTATAGGTTCTCACCTAATACAGGCTCTACATGCTTAATTTCATGTTCTTAGGTTCAATATTATAGAAAATTCAAAAAGTACCTTTTGTAGAACGATAAAGTACCAAATTGTCTACAGAAATGTAGTAGTATCGGAATCCGCAAAAATTACTTTAAGCGAGATATTTGTAAAAACTTATTTTTGTATCCTTTGACCACCAATATGTCACTTAGCGTACATGGAATGAATGGTGACTTTTAGCCAACTTTTATTTAGCTATCTGATATTCCCCAGTGAGCTAATTCTTTCCACTAATTTTCCTGGGGTATATAAAATTGAATGACAAATACATTTTTTCCATTTTGTATTTTTAAAATTGTTCCACTAAATAAATTTATCGGTCAGTCACCTAAAAACTTTTCCTGATAACTATGTTTAATTTGAGGTAAATAAAATATTTATTTAAATTAAAAACAGGTACACGTGAATAAAAATTAAAACTGAAAAAAATCTAATTTTAAATTGTTTATATTATTATGTATATTTTACATTATTGTTTTATAAAATATTAATAATTTTAGGTTGTTGTAGTTGTTAGTTTTTGTAGGTTTTTATGATTATTCTATTGAAAACACGCAAATGGCTATTCATATTCATTATTGTACTATGAGCATAAACAAAAAGTACAATGAACTTTAAATTACATTCAAACATTAATTTTTCATATATTTAGTTCCTTTTTTTGAATTTAACAATTATAATGAAAAACTTTGTACATGTGACAATAATGTTGAAGAGTGAAGGATTATGGTGGTGGGAGCCACAAGTACCTTTAAAAGGATTTACACATGCGGATTTTTTAATGCATATATGGTGGTGTTGGTGAGGATTATAAGGACGGTTTACTTGCCAAAATGTTTAACTTCCTTAAACAATAATGGAAATATGTATATTGTTCAACTTCTTTTACTTAATCAATGTAACCTAATCGTTTTGACAATAAATAACTCTAAACTGGTTGATATATTAGGATAATATCCTAGAATTCATAACAAATTTGGCTTCTTAGCAAATCACATTTTATTCAGTGACAAAAGAAAATTCATTAACATTAAAAATTTAGAAAATTATAAAACTGTAGTTAATCGTTTTGGTAATTGAGGCATCCATATTGCAAACCCTTGGCCTCTAAGCATACAACTCGTGCATACATATAAAGCATGGCTAAAACAAACAAAACGGCAATGTGTGTAAAATAGTACAAAAGAAAAACTTAAACAAAAAAAAACTATTTTAACCATAATGACAGGATAGTGACATGTGGAAAACAACATTTTATCAAGATGTTAATAAATGCTTGACAGCAGACATACTACAGTTTGACTAAACGAACAACAACCAATTGTTCGGTACGGTCAGTTGACTGTTAGACAAAAACAAACTTTATCCTAACGATTTTTACTCGTTTTTTTTTTTTTTAAATTCATATCTAACTTTTTATTGTTGATGGGATTATATATGTCAAGCTGTGCGGCTATATTTGTTGCCAGACATTTAAAACTTTTATAACACATTATTACGAATTTTCATCATGAAAAGGACATTAGTGAAATTCCAATTGTTTTTGGTTAAAGTTATTAAAATGGAAACCTAATTTTTTTATAACGGTTGCCGAAATTATTATGAGAATCTTGGAGATTAGGATTCTTATGGGGGCTTGTGTTCATTATTAATCTAAATCTTCAGAATTCGAGAGTGTCATTATACCCTACACCACTTTAGTGGGGAGGGTATATTGGGTTTGTGCTGATGTTTGTAACGCACAATATCGGCTCAGAATCATTTTCTGAGTCGATTTAGCTATGTCCGTCCATCTGTCCGTCCGTCCATGTAAACCTTGTAATCAAACTACAGGTCGCAATTTTGAAGATAATGCAATGAAATTTGGTAAATGATCTTCTATTGTCCCAGGGACGAAGCCTATTGAAAATGGTTAAGATCGGTCCATTATTTCACCTAGCCCCCATACAACTGAACCCCCCAATAGGGCTTGTAATCCTTGTAATCAAACAATTTTGGAGATAATTCAATAAAATTTGGCACATGATCTTTTATGGTATCGTAGACGAAGCCTATTGAAAATGGTTAACATCGGTTCATTATTTCACCTAGCCTCGCTAGGCCTCGCCTGACTGTCGGCCTCGCCCGACTATAATTTCTTACTTGTTTTTTTCTTATTACAAATCATTTTTGTCACTTTTCTCCTAATACTATACATAAACGATTTATTGATAATAAGCTGATTTTCCATAAAGAATATATGGTAACCCCGTCTATATGAATTATGTTCCGAACCTTATGATATTTAGTGATAATTTCCTGAAAGAGACTCATATAAGGTAGGTCAAAAATGATTCGATGTTCATATTTTTATTCAGTTATTAAGATTGAAGTCATTTCCATGGGAGACCCTTATATACAACCTATTTTTGGGTCTACAACCAATACATGTTACAAACTAAATGACAAAACCTTTTCTTAACTCTTTCACGTACACGGGACACCAGTGTCCCATGATTTTTTTTTAAATTTTTCTCGATTTAGAACGTAACTTTGAGTTCACAGCTGCAGTAAATGGTTATTTAGAAAGAAAAATAAGTTACTTTTTAGAATTTGATGTCACTATATGCAAAAAAGGATAATATCCTGCGATATCCATCGAAAACACTTTTTCCATTTTTCATCAAAAATTTTCAATATACGTCAAAATAAGATGTGTGGTGAAGTCATATCCATAAAAAAGTCCAGCGGTTTAGTTTTGTGCGTGAAAGGGTTAATGTGTTCCTTAAAGTTAAAAAAAATACTTATTTTATTAGGATAGCCCCCCACTAAAAATGAAACTCTGGTTCATTGTAAGAAACAAAATTCTCAAAATGTTAGTCCTGGGATCTCTATTTGGTGAGCTGGGTAAAAAGGTCCTTATTTTGGAATAAACTAAATTTTCATTTTCGGCAGAAGTTTTCCACATACTACATACATATGTATGTACATATGTATATTAGAGCCACCCTAATGTAAATATGTCGTATGTGTTTGCTCTCAATAAACAATTGCTAAGGACATATATTTCCTGTGGTTGATTTTTATTAAAAGAAATTTCTACGAATTGCTGATTTGTTGTCCATTCATACGTAAAATATAAATACACATTTAATACCCTGTAGTGTTCTAAATGTACATATATACCTCGTAAGATGATCTAGTCTGCGTGACAGACGGACGTAGTAGATATATTATTTGATTATAGATCCCCTTCAAACAAAAGCATTGAGCATTATACACTTATGTTAGTATTAATTAATGTCGAAGTGCTTTACGTGAACACCTGCCGTCTTGGCCTATTTCACGGTGGTCTTTTTCAACCACTGGATGAGCTTTTGTAACGACTCACTACTGCCCCATTGGAATTTCCGGTCCGTATATAGAATTTCCGATCCAGTATACCTGCACTTTGCTCAAATACTCGAGCTATCTAATCTCTTCCCATAGTAGTCCCATTGGGGAATGACAGGTGTAATGAGTCAAGCTCAATCTAACCCCGACAAAGGAAAAAGCCTTGCCCTATGGTTTGTAACGCTCCTAAAAACTAGTAGCAGTAACAGAAACTTATACCGTAAATTTATATTTCACCGCGAATTTGGGTTTCAACCACATCCACTACGTGGATCCCAAAGGAACCTCAACCAACTGATCAGCCAGGACAAGTCTTGCGGTCAATTGGCCACCCGTAGTACTAGATTATGTGGTGCTCTGGTTCGACCCCATATCAAATTATTCCAAGGACCGAAGATACATTTGACATCACCAGTTTATAGTCCCGGCAGACTAGAGATACTGGCAGCACCTCTTTACCACGGAATTGCAATACAGCAAGATGAGGGTCTTTGTGGTAGTATATATCATATTTATGTTCGGTTTGAAGAAGTTTTATATAAATCTGAATCCAAGTCTTCCTGGATTCCTGAAGGGTATATAGCCGATCATGCCCTATACTAGACTTCTTTACTTCTTTTCAAGCTCTCTATTTTGGAATCTCTGTAGCCGCCACAAACTCATACGTTAATTAATTGAACTACAGAAAATAGGTCATCTCGGAAAGTAAAAAGTCTTACAAATATATGGGATAGAGGTTTTCCATACAATGCAGGGTGTTGATACTTATTAAAATAATTGCCAAGTACAAATACACCACGAGGTAATCTAAGTACAAATATGTAAATATAAACATAACATAAGTATATACATACATATACATAAGTATATATGTATGTATGTATGTTTGTACATATACATACATATATTTACGTATGTACAAACACATTTATATATCCTTTCTATTTATTATTTTTACTATTTGTTTATTTTTCACGTCATTGGTCACCGGTTGACCAGAGACAAAAACCTAAACATCAATAAAACATATTTTCCATATTAATAATTAGTATAATATACTTTTTAGACAATTTAAGCATACAATCCACAATTTCTGGACGTATCTCCGCAAGAGGTCATAGTGCCGCTAGCGTCGAACATGTCAATCAAAATAATAATAGCGCCAAATCACCACCTGCGCTGCATCACTATCCAAATAATAATTTAATAGGGGTGGAATCCAGGTGAGTAGTGGTGGATGATATAGAAATTGTAACAAAAATACTTGTAGTTGTAGTTTTGTATTCACACTCACATGTAATTGCATTTTAATTGTTCTGTTTTGTGTGTTTGGGAAAGTAGTTGATATTCAAATTATTTTTGATTTGTAATTTTGTTTTTGGTGAAAATTATACATATTATACTTATTTTCAAGTATTTATAGATTTCGAATATATTTCATATAATTTACTAAAGTTAGACATAGGAGGCTTACTATGCCTAACTTTAGTTAATTATATGAAATATATTCGAAATTTATAATTCCAAAGTCATATTTTTGAAAAGCTATCGAATGAGGACTACCCAGTTTTTTATACGTATATTGAATTAGGCTTGGGGGTAATGAATACACAAAGTAATTGAGCAATAACCAATTACAATTACTTGTAATTGATGTTTTTCCAATTCCAATTATTTATAATGTGTAGTTGACCAATAATCAATTACAATCATTTGTAATTGAAGTTTTGCCAATTACAATTTCTTATAATTAAAATTGAAGTTTAATTAAAAATTACATTATAATGGAACAAATTCACAATTATAAGTAATTGTAATTAGAAATTCTTCAACTACAATTAAAAGTAATTCAATTACAAATATAATGTTTAATTAGAAGGACAATTTCATGAATTGTAAAATTAGATAGATTGTAGTACACAAGACCGAAATTTTTCCATCATCATAGTTTGTTTAAATTTTAATTTCTCTCATGTTTATATTTTTCAGATTTCGTCGAAAATACTACAACAAAACCCTATTCATTTTGCTCATAGTATTAATAATCTTATTGTTAATAACCATCATAGTTTTAAGTGTTTTATTAAGTAAGTAGTAGTCACCCCCTTCCACCTAAATTTCATCAATATATATTAAAATATATATCCTTACTTTCCACAGGCAAAAACTCTATTAGTACAATTTGTCGCTCCAATGAATGTCTGCGGACAGCGTCAAACTTAATATACTCAATGGACGAAGAGACTGATCCCTGTGAGGACTTTTATCAATTTACCTGTGGTCGCTGGTCTGACGAACATCCACGACCCGATTCTGTGATATCGAATGATTGGTTTCGTGAACGACAGATTCGCATAATGCGTCAATTGCGTAAATTTTTAAAACAAAATGTCAGCGATACCGAGCCCGAGGCAGTGGCCAAAGCAAAATTAATGTATAAATCCTGCATGGACACTCAAACACTGGAGGAGAGAGGCATGGAACCAATAGTACACTTCCTAAACGAATTTAAATTGCCCATAATACCTAGTGGCTTGAATATAACATTAAGCCCTGAGAGTGTTAAGAAATACAATCAAACTAAGGAATTCAATTGGTTGCAGTCTATAGTTTATATTAAGAAATTTTTATCTATGGATATAATGATCGGTTTTGATATATTTGCCGATCCCTTTAATCGTACCATTAATCGTATTGCTTTGGGAACACCGGAAACCGAATCAGCACTGCCGTTGTGAGTAGTAAAGAAATTTTGTATTTTAAAAATACTTTTAATAAATAATTTTAATTTAATTACAGTAACAATGATGATGTTCATAAAATTTTATATAAAGTTCGTAAAAAATTTATATTGGCTGATGATGATGATGATGACGACGATGAAAATGAGATCGAGGCTCGTGAGGAAGAAGAGGAGGAGGCTGCTAAACAGACTTCAAGTGGCTTAAAAGCATATGTTTCATATGTTAAGAAAATTTTCGAAATTTATTTATTATATTTGGATCCGGATGCCAATCCTGAGGATAGCGAAGACAATGTTGGTGAGATGACTGTGAATGCTGTTAAAGTGGCGAGAAAGATTTTTAAGGTGAAGATTTATTTTCAAGTTAATTGTACTTAACAGGCTTGATTGGTAATGAATACAAATTACTGCAAGTGTAATTGTAATTCATGCTTCACCAATTACAAGTAATTGTAATTGAAATTTTGCCAATTTCACTGATTTTTAATGAGTAATTAAACAATAATATATTACAATTACTAGTAATTACCAAAAACTATTACTTTTAATTGAAATTTTGCCAATTACACGTAAATAAAGAATTTCCCATTACAATTACTTGTAAATGTGCAAATTATTCCCTATAAGTACCTTTATTAATAATTGGTAATAATTAAATTACAATTACATAATTGCAATTAGTAAAATTCAGTTACATTTAAAATTAATTGCAATTGACAAAACTTCAATTACAATTTAAAGTAATTGTAATTGGTTATTGGTCTATTACATATTACAAGTAATTGTAATAGGCAAAGCTTCAATTACAATTATAAATAATTGTAATTGGTAATCGCGAAATTACACATAATAAGTAATTGTAATACATTAGATTGTAATTCATTACATAGGAATTAGTTTATGTAATAATTTTCCCCAAAACCTGTTATTAAATTACTATATCTATCTGCTCTAGAGTAGAGTAAATGACTTGATAAAAACATAACTGATCTCGTAGTTTTCGATGTCTTATACTATTGTTAATTAACAGCTCAAAAGTGCCGCAGAAAATGCCACAAAATCTTCAAAAAATCCCATTGATGACATCATTTACATTACAGTAAAGGACTTGCAAAAACAAACCGACAAATTAATCTCACCCAAAACAATACCCATTTGGAACGAATATTTGCAATTAATGATGACCGATAGTATAAATACTAAGAACATCAGTGGCAGTGAGAAATTTAATACAACCGATTTAAAAATCATTACCAGCGAGGCCGATATTTTGTATTTGCAAACCATAGTCGAATATCTGCAAGAACTGCCAACAGCACATTTGGAATTCTATTTATGGCTTAGTGCAGTGGAAGAGTTAATCCTTCATACCACTAGTGAAATGCGTCTGCTACATGCCGAGTACATGCGTCTGGTCATTGGCACCGAAGGCAGTACACCACGTTCCTTATATTGTGCCCATGGCATTAACAGTCTCATGGGCATGGCACTATCCTACGCATTAGCAGACGACGACTTCACTCGCCACAAATTGCCAAACGTTGAACGTATGCTGAACGATATACGACGTTCGTTTAACAATTTGGTGCGCTCGACGACGTGGATGGATGAGCCAACGAAATACGAGACTTTACAAAAGTCTGCGGAAATGAAAAGTTTCATTGGCTATCCCGAATGGATTACCAATAACACCGCTCTAGACGATTACTATCAGGGTGTTAAGGTGAATGCCTCAACCCATTTGGAGAATATGGTGGGGGTACTGTTGTGGCAAACACAAATGAAATTGAATGATTTGAATGTACCGGAACCATTTGGTTGGGCCACCTCGCCTAGTAATGTTAATGCGTTTCATACATTTCAGGCGAATGCCATCAGTAAGTATATCAGTATGTTGCATTCGATGAAAACTAATGGTGTGCACTCTTCGTTTGGGCAACCATTAAGTTGCAAACTTTAAATACAACGTGACAGAAATTGTCATGTTAGCGGGTGTGATTTTAACATGTTTTAAATAAAATGCCTGTACAATATATGAATATATAAATATCTTTGAAAATATTAGGGGTATTCATATTAAGATGCAGTAATTATTTAAAATTCTATAAGTTGATTAACGTTTTTTTTTTTAATAATATTATATTTCAAATTACAAGAGGCAAGGCCTTTATATTTTAAAAAGTCGTTTTGCTAGCCTCATGTGAATACCCTTAATGATTACATTTTATATTCATATATACAGTTTTATTTATCTTTTCGAGCATGTATGATGGTCTTAATAAATTTTATTGAATTTTTGCTTTTTGTTAATGCAACCTTATTTATTGTAGCCATACCAATTGCAATTTTACAATATCCCTTCTACGATCTGGGTTTGGAGTGAGTAATTGTCGAAAATATGTTTTTTTTTTGGTTTTGCAAAATTGTCTTTTTTACGCACCATACACAGCACACTTTTGGTATTTCACAGGAATCAGTGATATGCATTTCAAAGTAAAAGCAAATTTTGTAGAAATTTAAAAAATGTTTCTTTTATGCTAAATATTTTGAATTAATTGAAAATGCACGTTAACATTTGCTTGTTGAAAACAGAGATATGTAGCAAATCAAATTGTTCAGCTGCTATCACTTTTGCAAAATTGAGAGTTTTCAGCACGAGTGCACAAGAAATATTTTAAATTGCAATTCTTAACAAAGTCAAATCTTTAATAAATGTATATATATAAATTAAAATCTTTTAGAGCTCTTAACTATGGTTCAATTGGCACGATATTGGGACACGAACTGACACATGGATTTGATGACAATGGACGTATGTTTGATAAGAATGGAAATATGGTACAATGGTGGTCTAATGAGACCATAAGTGAATACATAAATCGTACTGAATGTTTTATAGAACAATATAGTCACTACTATTTGCCAGATATAGAGGAATATGTAAGATTTTTTTCACAAAAAGAAAAGAAATATTTTAATATGAAAATTTTATTGCTTACAGATCGATGGTGAATTGACTTTGGGTGAAAATATTGCCGATAATGGTGGCATGCGTGAAGCCTTTTATGCCTATCGTCTGTTTGTTAAAGAAAACGGTCGTGAGAAAATCAAACTTCCCGGATTAGAACACTATAGCCATGAACAGTTATTCTTTATATCGTTTGGCAATCTTTGGTGTGAATCCTATACACCAGCTGCCTCACGTTATGCCGTAGAAGATTCCCATTGCCCGGGTAAAATTCGTCTTAAAGGTGTGCTATCGAATTCAGAAGAATTTGCTGAAACATTTAATTGTCCTCGTGGTTCGGGTATGAATCCCAATGAGCCCAAATGTCGTATTTGGTAACTGCTTAGAATATGATGATAAAATTAACACTATTTGGTTGTGTCTTATAGAAATAGTAGAAAAAATGTGTTTAATTTGTAACGCAAAAAAAGTGATGTAAATAGATTAGTTTTAAGAGCAATATATTTTGAAGTATTTTAAATAAAATTTTACTAAAATGTTTGTACTTAAAATTAATATATGTTTTAATATAGCATAAACTATGATTTATTTGGCAGTTTTACGGATTTTTTTTCTTAATATACAAATGGGTTTCATGTCTATGAAATTAAATTTTCCCTAAATTTTAAAGTGTTAACAATTCACACTCAATCAATCATTGTCATTGACAGACAAATTATTTTGTAAATACATGAAAATCATTTCTAATTATGTTTATATTGTATCATTGTAATTCTTCAATTGGAAATTGAATAGCATATATTATTCTAAAATCGCCTTAAGATAACTTTACAGATCCTTTAAATAATCGAAAACTCAAAATAGCTGAATTATTCTTACAAATCAAATGTTAACACAGATTGATTACATATAACTTGTAATTGATTAATTGTATTTGTAAATATTTTATTAAAAAGTGCAACTCATTCTCAAAATTACTCAACCAAACATTAATTGATAATTTCTCAAGAAATAAGATTTCGGTAGAGCACAGATTTTAGAGCATTATCTGAATATAAACTTTCTTAACATTCGATACCTGAAATAGTTTCATAAATACAAAGTTGGGTTCGTTTTTAATTTTTCCACAAGGATGAAGCTAAGGTGTTCGTTTGCGGAAAGGGGATTAGTGGGTAGACCCTCAAAGTTGGTCGCATAGGAAATTAATGAGCTGAAATTAAGACTATGAAAACTTCTTGAGATGATCTACAAAAAATACACCAAATATACAAATTTTTTTTTTGTATACCCTTCACCATCATCAGTGGTGATACAGGATATATTAAAATTTGCCATAATGTTAATAACACCAAGAAATGTTCATCTGAAACCCAACAAAGTATATATTTTCCGGGTCCTTATGAAATTCTGAGTCGATTTAGTTATGTCTGTCCATTTGAATGTCTGTGTAAAACACGCTCACGTTAAAACGAAGTGAAGGAAACCAACCAAATTCTTCGAAAATATTCATTATTGTCCTAAGCATTTGGGTATTGAAAATCAGCAAAATCGTAAAAACTTATGAGTAATATTTCAGACTACATCAAAAAAAAATAAGTTTTTTCTTAATTCTCGATAAGTTTTTCTTAAAAACTACGGAAGATAATTCGATAATTTCACTAGAATATTTTTCCGCCCAGAGATCAATTATGTTCAAACTCAAACAATCAATCAAACTTGTACAGAAAGGTACATAGCTCTGTATCGGTCTATGATTGGTCATAGCTCTCATATATGGCCAATTCCCGATTTCATAACAGAATGAAGATACATATAAAATACACTTCGAGTATTTTCCGGATCGACCCATAATTAGTCTCATCAATAGATAGATAGATAGATAGATAGATAGATAGATAGATAGATAGATAGATAGATAGATAGATAGATAGATAGATAGATAGATAGACAGATAGATAGATAGATAGATAGATAGATAGATAGATAGATAGATAGATAGATAGATAGATAGATAGATAGATAGATAGATAGATAGATAGATAGATAGATAGTTAGATAGATAGATAGATAGATAGACAGATAGATAGATAGATAGATAGATAGATAGATAGATAGATAGATAGATAGATAGATAGATAGATAGATAGATAGATAGATAGATAGATAGATAGATAGATAGATAGATAGATAGATAGATAGATAGATAGATAGATAAATAGATAGATAGATAGATTTTTATAAATTGCAAAACCATAAAAAGGGCATTTTAAACAATAACTTTAATGAAATTTTCTCTTGCCTAGATTAATAGGGTACATTTAAAACCTAATGATGAACTTATTGGCAATTTTTTAAAAAATATTTTAAATAAACTGCGATAAATTTGAGGAACAGATTTAGCATTGTAGGTCTATATGTATATGGATGGACATTAAAAAAATCTCACCTTTTTTATACCCAAAATTTAAATTTTTTTCTGGGTATAACCTTATGGGAAACTATCAATTCAAAATATATATATATATACATTTTTTTAATTTTTCTACATGTTCAATAACTTTAAAATTTACAAGAAATTTTATTTTCGATTTTAAAATATTTCATATTTATTTAAATATTTTATTTATTTACTTAGTAATCATTCATTTAATATTATTTTAAAGTATTTTTAGTTGTTTTACTGTCAGTAACATTCATACAAAACATACATTTTTTTACTTTTTTGGGATGGAGTGTTTTTTCTGTTGTTGTTTTTTGGGTATATATGACATAAATATAGAAAATTTACATAGAATTTATATTTATATATTATTTTATACTATTTTATTTACAATTACAATAATATTGTTTATGTTAAATTTAAATGAAATTGATTTATGAATCAATAAAAATATGTTTCAATTGTTATTATTTATTTTATATAAACTACATACATACGTATACAAACATATTTATTTATTAATTTATTTATATATTTTTGTGGTTTTGTTTTATTTGACATTTAAATTTTATTATATAGACTTTGTTGTAATACATTCTAAACAATCCCAGTAAAGAATTTAAAATTTTTGTTAACGTCCTGTAGTTATTTCATACATTACTTGGTAATGAGTGGTCATTATTAAACGTATTATATCATTTAGCTGAACAGGTTATTACTAGCAAAGAGCGAAGTGATTTATTTATTTATCAATTAGAAGGTTCTTGGTTACATTTACCGTTTGATAAAATATGTTTGCTGGGATACTAATAAAAAAACATTTTCTTATGCTTGAATTGTATACAAAAGAAACCAATATTTTGAATTTAATTAAGTTCTTAATTTAACCAAATAATAAATAATTATATACTGCTATAGATTAATATTTTTTATAACGTTTTTAAATATATTTATTTTTATAAAAAAATTTTATTTACTTTTATAATATCATTACTTTAAAGAAAATTCCATTTAGGTTTTAAATTTTATTTTACTTAATATTAATACTTTAAAATTTTCTATTCAATATTCGATTCACAATCATTTGGTTCAAATTTCAATAATATTAATACATATTAAAGATTATATATATTTTATTTAAATATATATTTTGTTTTTGTATTAAAGCTCATTTTTCAAATATATTTATAACTTAAGTTTCCAATCACATTTCTTAAAATAATTAAAATGTTATAGGCTTTTCAATTTGTTGTAAAAAAAAAAAATTACTGACAAAGCATTTAGAATAAAAAATTTTGGGATTTTAATTATGACTTTTTCCTAAAACTGCCCTGTTTAATTATTAGGCATTAAAATAACATTTATCACATTAAAATAATTTTTTATATACATTTTTTGTGGAGTTTCATATTTATAGTAAAATTTTCTTTAAACTTTCTATTTATACCCTACACCACTATAGTGGGGAGGGTATTATACGTTTGTGCTGATGTTTGTAACGCACAAAAATATTGGTCCACCCACCCACCTTAAGTATACACCCACCTTAAGTATACACCCACCTTAAAGTATACCGATCGACTCAGAATCACTTTCTCGATTAATTTCAAGATATTTTTCTAAAATTTGGACCATACGTGTTTTTCGGCCCAACGACGAAGCCTATTATTTCACCATACAACCCTACCCCCCGGAAAGGGCTTTTGAGTTCATAATTATGTCAAATATTGTAGTATCTCTACAAAAATCGGAAATACTTAGTTCTATATACGTCTTAATAATACTACCGATTTCGTAATTATCGGACTTTATTTGACCCTAGCCCCCATACAAAGTCCCCTTCAGAAAATGACTTGATGGCCAATAATTCACTAATAAACACTAATATCACGATGAAATCCAGCATACATAACTCTAATGTAAACGTAAAGCCATGTACCAAAAATTATAAGGATAGGCCCATATATACCCTTGCCCCCATATAACCTCCCCAGGAAAAACTTACATTGAAAAGTAATGAGTTAAATAGCTAATAAAACCTCTTTTCAGTACTTCTTCATTAGCATTTTAAGTCATTATTTTAACACGGTGATGTCATTGGAGGCAAGTACTTCTACGCACGCTTACAAATAGGGACTTAAAGAAGTACTTGCAATTTCCCTTACAAAACAGTTGTTGAGTAAGTTGTTTTGTTTTTTAATAATAAAAAGAGCCAGCTAGAATACGAACCAGGGGCTTCGGTTTGTTAGTCAAATGTTCTACGCACTGCACCACTGCTTAGCTATTTTATTGTGCGTCAAATAATGGTTTTCACAAACAAAACTAATTTTGTTTTATTTTTTGAAAACACAATTCTTAAAACGCAATTAAATAAAATGTGCAAATAAAATGACAAAGCCGAAAATAAAGTACTTCTATATCAGATTATAAGAAAGCCATTACTAGAGTACTTCTATGTAATGCAGACGGTAAGTAGTAGTCATTGAAAAGTAAGTGGTTATGGAAGTACAACCCATTACCGAGTTTTTGCTGGGTCTCTTTTAGAAAATCACTGTTTTCAACAAATTGTTAGAATATTTCGGAATTAAGGTAAACAAATTAAATGCTTTGTTATTAAATATAATCCACATTTTTAACATACTCAGTGGTGTATGGTATCATATGGTCGGCGATGCCCGACTATACTTTCCTACTTGTTATAGTAAATGTTTGCTTAATTTTTTTATTAATAGGCAATTTTTTATTATAATTTAAGTAAAATTTTCTATTTTAACAAAGTTTTGAACATTTTTGTTAAATTTTCAGTTTAATGGAAAAGTTTATAAAAAAATTTTCAATTAATTTCATATAAGAAATTTTTGAATTCAAATCTTTTGTATACAAATAGTACTTGCAAACGAATTTTGACTCTATCTATTCAATTCAAATTCTCTACAAAAATTAGTACTCCTCAAAGAACTAGGACTGGTATATATGGAAAAAACATACTTTATTTAACATTGCGATGTCATAGGTGAGGATCACGTAATCGATCAATGAAATAATACCAAAACTATTTGTTTGCTGAAATTATGGGAGTACATGATCCGCAACATGGTCCTATCTAATACAGGCTAAGGACCATGTTTTTTCAAAAATAATAAACATAATCCATACCTCCATTACATAGGACTTTTTCCGGTTTATATGTATATTTGAGTGTCCTGAGGTATAGACTTTTTAAGAATCTCATGTGTATTAATGTACTGAATATGAGAAAATAAAAACAAGTGAGAGTGTTATATTCGGCTCATATGTCATATGTGTCGAATTTCATCACTATACTCGTATTTTTAAGCCAGTAATGAGCGTTAAAGTCATATTCTGAAAGAGTCCTTATATGGGAGGTAGGGCTAATTATGGACCGATCCTCATAAAATTTGGTAGGGAGATTTTGGATCATATGAAACTTATTTATGTCGAAATTCGTACTCGTACTTTTGAAGCAGATATGCCCACTAAAGCTGTTTTTCGGGGTTCCACCAAACAACAACCTTACCTATAGAGAATATATGTGGAAAATTTCAACCCTCTATCTCGTTCCGTTCGGACTCTATCGTGCTTTCAACAGACAGACGGACGGACAGACATGGCTAGATCGTCTTAGAATTTAATAAGGACTCAGAATATATATACTTTTGAGGGTCTATGACCAATATTACGATGTGTTACATACGGAATAACAAAATCAATATACCCCCCATCTTTTTTGATGGTGGGTATAAAAATATTTGGAATGGTGCTCAGTTCACTCCCAGCGAATAAAAATCCTAACCTCAGTATAAGTTGTGAAAAAAAGATTTCCTATTATTGTGAAATGGGTCTTAAAAATTACCTAATTTATGAGCTAATAACGGAAAAAATTACTAAAACATCTTTTTCAAGTATTTTTGGTCCTCAAAATTATTTTCAATGGATTTGATATTTTCGCTTTTTAGCGAAATAGGTGTCAGAATAAAAATCGTTTTGAAATACTGTAACAAAACTTTTAACTATTTTTTTTCGCGATAAGGAAAATATTATGGAAATTTTGAGATCAATTTCGAAAAGATTGCAGAAAAAGAAATTGTTAATGTATTTAGATAGAAAACTGAGGCCCTTCTCCAAAAAAGTTCATTTTTCTTGTGTTTAGTACATTTATATGCATCGTTTGAGAGATATTCCTTCCAAAAAGTTGTCGATGGGACAGCCTAATGTTATGTACATTTATTATTTACATATGTATATTAAGGTGGCCCCAAAATGATGTTGCCGCGAAAAATTTAAATTTTGTTAATTTTAAGATTTCTCAAAATGTTTTTCCTGACATTCAACATTTTTGGTTTCCCTGGTAAAGTATTAAACAATTTTAAATTTAGCAGAAAATAGTCCACATGCTTTACATTCGTCCGAATCCACACGTTTAATTTTGTAGAGTTGTTTCCATAATCCTGGGTATCCACTCAAAATACGTACCATTATACCAACGCCAGACTTGCACATTTTGAGGAGGCTTCTCGTCCTGCTTTAGTTAGGGTCAACCTATATAATCTTTGTAGTTCTACCCACCGTTTCATTATTCTAAGAGGAATTATGGGATTTCCTCGACCATATTCTTAATTCAGCCCTCGTTGTGTCGAATTGTTTTGCGTTCGTAAGGTTAACTGCCTACACATTCATTCTTGCGTTGCCGCCTACTCGCGAGTGTCCTGGTACCCACACGAGCATATAGTTTTCATACAATTCAATATGGTCTTAGAGCCTTCCGTGTAGAAACGGATTCCTACGGGTATTTGCTCTAATGCTCCGCTGGACCACTAAATTCCATCTAGTTTCAGTGTTTCAAAGTTCTAGGTCTGTTATACAACCGTATGTATAAAGTTAAGAGCCGTTTCTGTTTCTGGGTCTTCAATATAAATTCCTAGCCCCGTTTTGTAACCCAATTTGGAACCTTCCGTATCGAAACGGATTCCTACGGGCATTTGCTCTAATGAAATTATATCTAGGTATGTTATAAAATCGCGCACATCCGATGTTTGTGTATAGCCTTCCAATGTATGCATAAAGTTAAGAGCTGTTCTTCTGAATGTGCAGCCTCATATCTTATATATTGAAGTAGTGTAAACGTTCTTATACCCAAACAGTATATACAACAGTTTCTACATAGTAGACTGGTCTAAGTCCTTTACCGTTTGGGGTTCTTAGAAGGCTATTAATCGTCGTTACTCTGAGTAAATGGGTCAAAATGCCATCCTGTGGTGTACCACGAAATACCCTTTTCCTTATAGTCTCATGGAATGAATTAAGTTTTCATTTTCGGAGGGAAAATCTGTACCATATTATTCTTTATAAAAACGGGGTCTGCCTAATGTTGTATATTCATATCGGTCATTTATTACAAGACTGGCATAATCCAAAAATGTCGTTTCGGAAAAATGGTTTTCAATGTTTCAGAAACCAGGTTCAGAATATGAGTGTTAGTTCAGAAAATAATAAACATATTTGAAACTTGATAAATCTATATGAAAGACTTTAGTATGACGTATGTTTTGAAGGTCACGGTAAAAAATCGAATTTTTGGATTATGCCAGTCTTGTAGTAAATGAGCGATATGTATTTTATATTTATTTCATAAATTATATATGCAAATATTCGTATAAAATAACATTTTATTTAAAATAAACAATACTACCTATTAACACATATTTTTACTATTATTTAGACAATAAATAATTATGAATTCTATATTTATTTTTGAATTGTTTTTTGTGTTTCTAACAAAAAGAGGATTTCATTAGTTATATAAGCGGATGCATTAAAAACATTTTCGGACTTGTGTATGGAAGGAGGTTACTTCATGCATGCATGTGATATCCAATTCACCATTTGGTTTTGCTGTTTACATAAATTTTTCCGCATTATTATTGAATTTATGATGTTTATGAACCTGGCACTACCGCAACACCGTTGTTTCCGCACATGAAGATTGACTCTGTAAATTAAAACGCATGAAAATATTTATGTTTAGAGAATTTAAATAAAAACAAATTTAAATAAAGTTGAAAATTATATAAAATTATTTTATTAGTATAATTTTAGGAGGTTTATTTAAATAACCCAGTAGGAAATTTTGGGAAAAATTTAAACATTTTATAAAATGAGATCTTCTGATACTCACCGCGTGCATAGAATTCGTGCGTATCTTTCGTCTTGTGCTGATGTATGTGGTGCATGTGTTCACACGTTGCAGGTGGAATGCATCGTCCGTTCCTTTTTGTGAATATACATTAAAAGATAAAACAGACAGTTAATATTATTGTTCTAATTTAAGACTTAAGACCTAAACTACACAAACGAGTTTTCAAATTGGCGTATGTTTTTTTTCAATTTAAGCAATAAAAAAATTGGACAAAGACAATCAATAAAAATCCCGATATACTAGAGATATTTGATATTTTAACATTAAATCAAAATGGCCTCCTTTAACTTTAAATGTAATTGAAAGATATAATATATATAAGATTACACTTTTAATATCAATTAACATTAAATATGTTAATATAAACTAGGGTGATCGACTCGATTTTTCAACCGGTTTTAAAACCGGTTTTTTCTGCTTTACCAGTATCGGTTTTTTCTAAATGTTGATTTTTCGAATATCGAATAACCCGTTTTTTTTCACTTTTTAAAAACCGGTTTCGAATACTTTTATTTGCTTTGTATTCAAAGATTATTTAAATGAAATTTTGAAGTAAATAATACAGCCCGTTTAAATTTAAAAATATTCGAGTCCAGGAACTAGGATATATTTTTCTAAAGCACCATTGGTTAAACTTTTTTGATTTTCCTAATTACTTAAAAAATTTTATTTGTAAAATTGATAACTGTTTAATAAAATTTTATTAATCTTAAGATTATATTCCAATTACAATAATTAATTTACCGCTGAAATATTATGGAAGTGTTGGAATGCCTATGAAAATTTCCTAAAAGGGCTTTAGAATAAGCTAGGATTACATAGTACCTTATGTTTAACAGAAGTGTCCACTTTTTTCCTAATTTTTTTTTTATATTAAAGAAATAATGTAAATCAGACGACTAGATCTAAAGTTATAATCTGTTAAACTGTTAAAAATCATTTCGGGCCATGTTTTATTAATCAAATTTAATCATAAACATTAATTTCTTCAAATTAACATATATTTTTTTATTTATTATGAAAAACCGGTTAACCGGTTTTTTCTGAATTTGAAAAATATCAACGGGTTTTTTTGAAATGTCAACTATTCGAACTATTCGAAAACCGGTTTTTGGAAAATGTCGAATAATCGATCACCCTAATATAAACCCAGCAAAAACTTACATTGAAAAGTAAGGGTTTCAAATGCTAAAATTTGCTTACATAATACAATTTCAAGTAATTATTTTAACACGGAAATGTCACTGGAGACAAGCACTTACCACGCTCGCTTACAAATAGGGAGTTAGGTAAGTACATACTACGATCATCTGCAAATAAGTTGTTAAGTGAGTAGTTTTGTTTACTATTCTACTATTAGTTTAAAAAAACTGAATGTTGTAGTCATTAAAAAGTAAGTTACTGAGTAAGTACAAGTCATTACCTAGTTTTTGCTGAGAATATTACAATAAAGTGGTTTTATATAATTCAATTACATTTATAGGTAAGACGTTGCCGACCATATTTGTTAATTTCTTTTATATGTGTTTCATAATTTTTAAATATTTGTGCTTTAAGAAAATAATATAAATGAAATTATCCCACAATTTTAAATAAAAAAACTTAAATTTCACAAAAACCATGATTAACAGTTAACAATTATCATTAGGTATAAGTATTTTCTTTAAATATCTAATATCAATTCAAATTCAACTACATACTAATAAGTGCCATCCAAATTATCCTGGCTGTCTGTAGAATTCAAAATTGTTAGTGTAAAAAAATATAAAAATGGTGGAATTTAGTGAAGGAAATAGTGTTGTTAGCAAATTAGAGTGAGGGAAATTAATAAATTAAATGAAATATTAGATCCTAGATTTGTACGTAGACTAGACTACAGACTAGACTATAGACTAGACTATAGACTAGACTACAGACTAGACTATAGACTAGACTATAGACTAGACTATAGACTAGACTATAGACTAGACTATAGACTAGACTACAGAATAGACTATAGACTAGACTATAGACTAGACTATAGACTAGACTATAGACTAGACTATAGACTAGACTATAGACTAGACTATAGACTAGACTATAGACAATACTATAGACAAGACTATAGACTAGACTATAGACAAGACTATAGACAAGACTATAGACAAGACTATAGACTAGACTATAGACTAGACTAGTCTATAGACTAGACTACTATAGACTAGACTATAGACTAGACTATAGACTAGACTATAGACTAGACTATAGACTAGACTATAGACTAGACTATAGACTAGACTATAGACTAGACTATAGACTAGACTATAGACTAGACTAGAGACTATAGACTTGACTATAGACTAGACTATAGACTAGACTATAGACTAGACGATAGACTAGACTATAGACTAGACTATAGACTAGACTATAGACTAGACTATAGAACTAGACTATAGACTAGACTATAGACTAGACTATAGACTAGACTATAGACTAGACTATAGACTAGACTATAGACTAGACTATAGACTAGACTATAGACTAGACTATAGACTAGACTATAGACTAGACTATAGACTAGACTATAGACTAGACTATAGACTAGACTATAGACTAGACTATAGACTAGACTATAGACTAGACTATAGACTAGACTATAGACTAGACTATAGACTAGACTATAGACTAGACTATAGACTAGACTATAGACTAGACTATAGACTAGACTATAGACTAGACTATAGACTAGACTATAGACTAGACTATAGACTAGACTATAGACTAGACTATAGACTAGACTATAGACTAGACTATAGACTAGACTATAGACTAGACTATAGACTAGACTATAGACTAGACTATAGACTAGACTATAGACTAGACTATAGACTAGACTATAGACTAGACTATAGACTAGACTATAGACTAGACTATAGACTAGACTATAGACTAGACTATAGACTAGACTATAGACTAGACTATAGACTAGACTATAGACTAGACTATAGACTAGACTATAGACTAGACTATAGACTAGACTATAGACTAGACTATAGACTAGACTATAGACTAGACTATAGACTAGACTATAGACTAGACTATAGACTAGACTATAGACTAGACTATAGACTAGACTATAGACTACTATAGACTAGACTATAGACTAGACTATAGACTAGACTATAGACTAGACTATAGACTAACTATAGACTAGACTATAGACTAGACTATAGACTAGACTATAGACTAGACTATAGACTAGACTATAGACTAACTAGAGACTAGACTATAGACTAGACTATAGACTAGACTATAGACTAGACTATAGACTAGACTATAGACTAGACTATAGACTAGACTATAGACTAGACTATAGACTAGACTATAGACTAGACTATAGACTAGACTATAGACTAGACTATAGACTAGACTATAGACTAGACTATAGACTAGACTATAGACTAGACTATAGACTAGACTATAGACTAGACTATAGACTAGACTATAGACTAGACTATAGACTAGACTATAGACTAGACTATAGACTAGACTATAGACTAGACTATAGACTAGACTATAGACTATAGACTATAGACTAGACTATAGACTAGACTATAGACTAGACTATAGACTAGACTATAGACTAGACTATAGACTAGACTATAGACTAGACTATAGACTAGACTATAGACTAGACTATATAGACTAGACTATAGACTAGACTATAGACTAGACTATAGACTAGACTATAGACTAGACTATAGACTAGACTATAGACTAGACTATAGACTAGTCTATAGACTAGACTATAGACTATACTATAGACTAGACTATAGACTAGACTATAGACTAGACTAGACTATAGACTAGACTATAGACTAGTCTATAGACTAGACTAGACTATAGACTAGACTATAGACTAGACTATAGACTAAACTATAGACTAAACTATAGACTAGACTATAGACTAGACTATAGACTAGACTACAGACTAGACTATAGACTAGACTATAGACTAGACTATAGACTAGGCTATAGACTAGACTATAGACTAGACTATAGACTAGACTATAGACTAGGCTATAGACTAGACTATAGACTAGGCTGTAGGCTAGACTATAGACTAGACTATAGACTAGGCTGTAGGCTAGACTATAGACTAGAGTATAGACAAAAATAAGAATAGTAAGTCGTTAGGCAATTTTCTCGAAACAAATTTTTTTTATATGCCAGTCTTGTAGCAAATGAGCGATATGTATCTAAGACACAATTTAAGTAGATCTATTACTTTATTAAAGATTAATGGAGATTTCGATAAAATTAAATTAAGTATTTCTGTCCTAAAATTTGTGCTTCTGTAATGCTGTAGTTTTTGGATTCAATTTCGGATCTTTTACATGCAGTTTTGTTAAGTGTAAAAATAATATCATGTATAAGTGCATAGTTTTGGGCTTTTATGAAAAATACAAATTTTTGTTGGCACAACTAAATACTACTGGGATCATCATGCAAAACACAATAAAACACTAGAAAGATAAAATTTTAAGGAAGACGAAAATACAATTAATTAAATAAATGAATACTTTAAATAAACATAGTTCAGAAGTTAGACAAATGAAAAATATCTAAATAAAACACAAACTTTTTTGTAATATCGAACAAGTAATTAATTCAGTTTAAACAAACAATGCCAAAGAAAACATGGAGGCACCTAATTCGTATTTTAGGTTTCCTTATAAGACCTCCACCATTATGACGATTGAATTTGAAGGTCATCTCACCAGTAGCTTCATAACTACGATCGCCACGTGTGCGCAAATAACGACGCAAACAGCAACAGCGACGTAAGCCTGGTACACGATAAATAATCTGCAGGAAACCACCGCGGAAGCGAGCATTCATATAACAGTAAATGATGGGATTATAACAGCTGTGCGACATGGCCAACCAATGGAATGCAAACCAGAAGTATGGCAATGGTCCCCAGGCCAACAAGACATCATCATTCAGTAACAACTGGACGTTTATAAGAAAATAAATAAAAATACATATGTATGTGTGTAAGTAAGTTCATTTAAATCAAATTTCAATGGAAATTAAATAATCGAAATCAAAAGATATAAAAATGAAAACCGTTATGAAAATAAATGGCAAATTGTAATTAATGAAAATATAATCACATATAACTACTTATGTATGTTTGTGGTTGTGTGTATGTATGATTGTGCAAAGATAATAAACAGAAATGTTTTCACTTAAAACTTACAATCAATATGTTAAAAGGCAGCCAACACATGGTAAAAACAATCACTACTGTCACCATCATTTTAATCATCTGAAATTATATGAAAAACAAAAATTGACTTTTAATTTCATTTTCAAATTACTACCAAGAATAACAATTGTATAATTAATTACTAACAGAGAAAAATAAAAATAATAAATAAATATTATTTATTTATACATGTATAATGAAAGTGACATGTGTCAATAATTTTGTATTTATTTTTGCAAAGCATACATTTTATGATTAACTGTCATTTGTTGATGTCGTCTAAATGGTATTAACGGAAATTAGTGGTAGCAATATTAGCAACATTGTAATGTTTAATAATAACGACAAGTCAATTGTAATAAGAGATTTATGTGCATTAGCATGATTTAGATCCTAGCCCCTAATAGAAGACCTAATTTCACAATTTATATAATCAGTAGTTCGGTCGGGAGGATGTGAAATACGATTATCTTCACCCTCGTTTACAAATAGTACATCCGTGACGAAAGACGAATTAGAGCCAGCCAAGTGGTTAGACGTTAGTGGAAATCACTGTCATTTTCTGATGCATTGACTCTTTGTCGAACTGCTGGGCTATTCCATAAAATATTGTTTGCTTAATTGAATACAAAATTTAATTTTATTTAAAAAAAATTGCAAGCAATTTGCAATTTGCCCATAATTTTTGAAATAAAATAACATATTTTTAAAAATAAAATTTTTGTAAACCATAAATTTTAACAACATTTAACATTTAAAAAAAATATGTACCAAAATGCATGTAGAATATTTTGCGTGATAAGTAACCCAACGATCAAAAATTAAATAGATTAAAAAAATAAAGTATAATGAATGAACAATCAATTGTTGTCCTTTAGGGACAGATAACGATTCTATTTGTAAAATATTTTGTAACCACCATAAAAAATAGTTAGTTAGTTAGTTAGTTAGTTAGTTAGTTAGTTAGTTAGTTAGTTAGTTAGTTAGTTAGTTAGTTAGTTAGTTAGTTAGTAGTTAGTAGTTAGTTAGTTAGTAGTTAGTTAGTTAGTAGTTAGTTAGTTAGTTAGTAGTTAGTTTTAGTTAGTTAGTTAGGTAGTTAGTTAGTTAGTTTAGTTAGTTAGTAGTTAGTAGTTAGTTAGTTAGTAGTTAGTTAGTAGTTAGTTAGTTAGTTAGTTAGTAGTAGTTAGTTAGTTAGTAGTTAGTAGTTAGTTAGTTAGTTAGTTAGTTAGTAGTTAGTTAGTTAGTTAGTTAAGTTAGTTAGTAGTAGTTAGTTAGTTAGTTAGTTAGTTAGTAGTTAGTTAGTTAGTTAGTTAGTAGTTAGTAGTTAGTTAGTTAGTTAGTAGTTAGTTAGTTAGTAGTTAGTTAGTTAGTTAGTTAGTTAGTAGTTAGTTAGTTAGTTAGTTAGTTAGTTAGTTAGTTAGTAGTTAGTTAGTTAGTTAGTTAGTTAGTAGTTAGTTAGTTAGTTAGTTAGTTAGTTAGTTAGTAGTTAGTTAGTTAGTAGTTAGTTAGTTAGTTAGTTAGTTAGTAGTTAGTTAGTTAGTTAGTTAGTAGTTAGTTAGTTAGTTAGTTTAGTTAGTTAGTTAGTAGTTAGTTAGTAGTTAGTTAGTTAGTTAGTTAGTTAGTTAGTTAGTTAGTTAGTTAGTTAGTTAGTTAGTTAGTTAGTAGTTAGTTAGTTAGTTAGTTAGTTAGTTAGTTAGTTAGTTAGTTAGTTAGTTAGTTAGTTAGTTAGTAGTTAGTTAGTTAGTTAGTTAGTAGTGTTAGTTAGTTAGTTAGTAGTTAGTTAGTTAGTTAGTTAGTTAGTTAGTTAGTTAGTTAGTTAGTTAGTTAGTTAGTTAGTTAGTTAGTTAGTAGTTAGTTAGTTAGTGTTAGTTAGTAGTTAGTTAGTTAGTTAGTTAGTTAGTTAGTTAGTTAGTAGTTAGTTAGTTAGTTAGTTAGTTAGTAGTTAGTTAGTTAGTTAGTTAGTAGTTAGTTAGTTAGTTAGTAGTTAGTTACATAGTTAATCTATATGTAGCTCTATGAAAGCAATATACCTAGGGGCCAGTTCTCTTTCATTCATTTTGACAATAAAGTCTTTCATAGAATTCCTCACTGACTCAAGTCCTTATAAGAAACTTTTTTCCGAAAATATTTTCCCGATATATCATAAAATTACCATAAAATTAACAATAACTCAGTTGTGGAATAAATTCTGAATGTACCCATTCATAAAGACCAAGGTTCCTCTATAGGACAGCCTCCTCAAATTTATTTTATATTTACCGCATTATTCTCAGTTCCTTGTTTTGCATAATTTTTTATGCAATTTCATAGAAGGACTTTTAAGTGTGTATGTATTTTCAAGGCCATTTAGAACATTTCCAGCAAATTAGGCATTTGTTTGTGATATATTCTTATTTATATATAATTTTGGTTTCTAATAAGTAACCTAAATTACGTTACATTTTGTAAATAATAATATTTGTTGACTTGGTAACTAAAGTTTTTTTTGCATGTCAACATGGAAAATATATAACATTGACGTCACAACTTTTAACACTTAAACGTAAGAAAAACTTTGTATAATAATCACACATTTAAATGTTGAAAAACTGTATTTCTATTTACGAAAGTAAATAATGAAAAAGCAGATTCTAATAATTTTCACAGAGTTAAGGCCTGTGACAAAAATTGCTGATGATATAGTTTTTGGAAAAATTTTAAGCATGAGAAAAAAAAACATAATATGTATGTGTTGTTTCTGAATTTTATTTAAACGATTTTGCTTATTTTTAGGAAACTTCTTGAAAGCATGTCTGATAGAATATTTTGATCCCGCTAACATCTGAGGCTTTCAGAAAATTTATTTAAAAAATAAATGCAATATTTTCTCCTTCAGGGGTTAATATCAAGTTTTTAAAATTATATTATTTTATAGGGATATGTATGAAACGAAATAAATGTTTCCTTGAGTTTATTGCTAACAAGAAACAAAAGAGATGTAACAAATTATTATCAAACAATTCAGTACTTTCAGTTTTTTAAATATGACTAATGATATTATAAAATTTTACAGTAATGTTTGGGGGTTGTAGAGTTTCAAAATTCTTCATGTTATCAAACACTTAAAATTTTAATAAAATTAAGTCATGTCAATAATTGTATAATATGTAGGTGATATAAATTGTCGAAAACTTCAGTTTAAAAGTTTTGTTTATCAATTCGAAGGGACTTATTCATAATCTTTTATCAAAGGTTTAGAAAACAAACATCCTTTACTAAACCAAAAAAAAAAAAAAAAAAAAAAAAAACAATTTCATTTTTCCAAAACACTTTTGCTATGAACTTCGTATAAATACTGTTAGTTTTTTTTCATAATTCTTATAGTTGGACCACCCACAGACAAACAAATGTGCTGGTAACAAAGGATTAAATTGTTGCTTATCAACAAGGATTTAGTTTAATATAAAAACAATGTACTAAAAGGAAAATACTAATAGTATTATTACTCAACAATTGCTCTACATTTATGTCATACATTTTGCAATAAAGTTTAACTATAAACTGAGTTTCTAAAACTATTGAATAAATCGTATTATAAGAAAGGGAGAAAATATCTAAAGAGTGATAAAACTTTGATGTGGTTTTTAGTGAAACAGCAACTAAAACTATAAGTTAGTCAGACAATTTGTTAGCCAGAGATTTAGTCAACACGTAGGAAAGTATTTCAATTTAATATGCAAGAGTATTTACGATTATGAGTGGTATTTAGTAGTTACCGTATTGGCTTTTGTGTTTGAAAATTCAATAGAAGACACTTAAACATCAAATCGTGTATGTTACAATACAATAGCAGGGTGGTACATTTTACAACTAAATATTTACATAATTTTGTTCATAAATTGAAAATTTATTGAAAATATAAAAATTGGTAATGACTTGTATTTACGAAGCAACTTACTAGACTACTTTAAAGTAATGCAGTTGGTATGTAGTAGTCATTGAAATGTAAGCTATTGTGTAATTAAATGTTTGTGTTGGATAGTCATTAAGAGAATTATACAAATAAATTATAATAATTATGCAGCAATCTGCATAACTAAATATATATATAACGGTCTGGGACAACCCTAATGTATAGGTATAACAAGTATAAAAAATAGGTTGTATAGATATTTAGATAGATTGTATACTATTTTATTACTTTTTTACAGTTTCTTTTTCTTTAGTCCAGATAAATATGTTCGGTTGCTTATGGTTTTTTGAGTTTCTATGAAGTGAGAATTGTTGCTGTCATTGTTGATGACGTCTTTAGGGTATTGGAGCAAAATTATGACTTTTTAAATATTGTTGTTATACATTTTGTTTCTGTAATTATAGCAACTATGTTGTAGTTATTTTATGATATTTCTTTTGTTGCTGCAATTGTTGGCTTTTATTTCAATTACTTTGGCTACTGGTTGTTTTTATGACAAGTCATTTGATAGTTACGCAGATATGGGCCATTAACATATTGTATGTACAGGTGCTGCTTGTGCTTTAATAACATACAGATACTTTGTAAGTACCTGCTTAAAACTTGTCAAAAATGTATCTTGTAGCTTACATGGTTGATAATATGTGTATGCCCATCACTGATTTAAAAAATTAGTAATTTTTACCATTCCTTGTGAATATGTAATCATTATACTTTGTATTTTATTTCTTTTTAAATAGATGTATTTATTCATGGATTTGTGGTATCATTGTTATGTATGTATGTACTTCAATTATGGCATTCATATTAGTTATATTAAACAGGCCAGCAAATTTTTAACCCAGAGACTAAAGTATACTTTTTTAACGATTACTGAACTTCAGAACTTTATCATATAATGTTTTCATATCCTAAAATTTTAAAAACTTCTCTTTAAGTTGCCATATCTAAGATGTCATATAATCAAAAATCTGTTAAAGCATCTACAACTAAGGTACACAGTGCTCTGTGGGTTTCGTTTATTCAAATTTTATTTTCTGGTATTATTGACAAGGAAAACAAAAAAGGTAGGAGAGCGGGCGGGGAGCGGAAACAGGGAGAAAGAGGG